CAAGCCCGTAAAAAGCTCCCATCCAGATATCCAAGCGGTGACTTTTTGCCCCGCCACTGATGATACTCTTAAGTTCACAATAATCAACGTATACGACTCCCCAGAGCAGTCATCCTACAAAAAGAGACTGAAAAACAGCAATGGTGGACCATCCCAGTCAACACTCGAATCCATTATTGACTTTGTTGCTGAAAACACAGATCTCGGCGAGAAACTGGTTCTAGGAGACTTCAATGCAAGAACAGGGGACCTCAACTTTAACTTTGATGATGAACCTCCAGCTGACATCGAGGCTTTCTCAACAATCGCAAGCTTTCCAGAAAAATCAACAAGATCAAGCAAAGACTCTGTGATAAACCCAAGGGGAAAACTCTTTCTGGACTTCATATCCAGTCTGAACCTTAGCATTCTTAATGGTGATACACTAGGAGACATCTTTGGGGAACCCACCTCAATTAATTACAATGGACACAGCGTTGTAGACTACGTAACAGCATCCCCCATGCTAAGGGAATCGGTGCAAAGTCTTAAGGTCTTAGATCTTACGAAATTCTCAGACCACCGCCCATGCTTATGCACACTGAAACTGAGTCATAATTATATAATTGATCCGGACGAAATTCTATCCTCACTCCAGCCAGCCCCAATAAAACACAAATGGGACGAGAATGCTTCAGAGAATAAACAGCAGTTCCTAGATGTCCAAAAAGAACCCCAGTTTGCAAGCAGAATCGCGGAACTGGTTGAAGCTGTTTGCGTAAAAAAGGAGGATGTCATTAAGCTCAATGAAAACATCGTCGGCATTTATCGTGATATGGCTGATCAGGCCCTACCAAGACCTAGAAAACATAAACAAAAACCCCTCAATAGGAAAACTCGGGGATACAAAAGGGCAAAACCGAAGTCTCCATGGTTTGATATTGCCTGCATCATCGAAAAACGTGAACTAAATCGATTAGCTAAAACATACGGTAAAAGTCCTCTTGATAAAGAACTGAGAGACAGCTACTACAACAAACGCCGCGAATACCGAAAGCTCGTGAGACAGAAGAAGGCCAAGTTCGTGGAATCTCTTTGTCGTGATGTTGACGAGGGGCGCGACATAAACTGGAGTCGCTTTAAGAAACTTAAAAGCTTCTCCTCAAATGGCTCAAAGCTGGACGTTTTCGATATGATGAACTTCTGTAAATTCTTCAAAGAGCTGTACTCAAAACCTTCCATCCCGAATGAAGAAACTGCTGACTTCACGGAACGCAGAAAGACTGAACTTCGTGTTCATGAACTCGTGGAAGTTCTGGACAAAGATATCGAAATAGAGGAACTTCGGACCGCCATCAAAGGCCTTAAGAAAGGGAAAGCCATCGCCGAAGATAAAATCCTGAATGAGTTCCTCATTTCGTCAGATGAACCAATGCTGTCAGCTGTTCTCAACCTGTTCAACCACTGTTTGAAACTCGGAGAGTATCCATGGACGACCTCTCTAGTTACCCCCTTGCACAAAAAGGGGAGTGTATACGATCCGAACAACTACCGGGCGATAGCCGTGGCGAGCAATGTTGGGAAGCTGTTTTCAACTATCTTATTACAGCGCCTACTCACATTCCGGTCACTGAACTGTCCAGACACTATAAACCAGCTAGGGTTCTGTAAAAAAGCACAGACGAGTGACCACATACTAACACTCTCAACTTGCATCCAAAAGTATGTAACGCAACGGAAAAAGAGGCTATATGGATGCTTCGTCGACTACGCGAAGGCGTTCGACTCTGTGTGCCGAGATGCCATGCTCTATAAACTCTGGGAGCTAGGAGTAAGAGGTCGATACTTTCAATGTATCGAGCAGATGTATTCACATTCCTCAGCAAAAATCAAACTGTTGAACAGATTGTCAGAGACAATCGACATTCACTGTGGGACTGAGCAAGGTCACCCGATGTCTCCTGAGCTGTTCAAGTGTTTCATCCACCAACTCTCCCTAGATCTGGATAACGCTGAGGAAGTCAACGTCCCTGAACTGAATAATGTTAATATCACTCATCTCCTCTGGGCTGATGATCTTATACTTCTTGCCCTTGACCATACTGGACTACAGAAACTTCTAAACGTTTTACACAGTTACTGTATCGAATGGGGACTAACCGTTAACATCGGAAAAACGGCAGTGATGGTGTTCAACCGTTCCGGGAGGCTCCTTAAAGAGAGTCTGACATTCCAACTCGGCGAAACCAACATCACATCAGTTCGAGAATATTGCTACCTCGGGATAACCTTTACCCTCAACGGTTCTTCAGCAGTAGCACAGAACAAACTGAAGCAAAAAGGTCTCAGAAGCTACTTCGCGCTAAAAAGCAGTATTGACTTAAGACACTTCAGGCGAACAATCGTATTCAAGCTATTCGACGCGCTTGTGGTACCGATTGTGACATACGGATGTCAGGTGTGGCTCCCAGAGACTCTCTTTGTCAGAAACTATCAAGATAATATCAACACCAAATCTCTCCTGAAGGAGACTGCAAGAGATCCTCTCGAAAAGCTTCATCTCTCATTCCTCAAGTGGACCTTAGGAGTGGGCAGAAAAACCTCAAATGCGAGTGTATGGGGTGATACAGGCCGCTGCCCCCTAGTGATAAAGGCATCAAAGCAAGTATTTGGGTATTTCAACCGACTTGAGCAAATGGACAGAGCTGGTTGCACAAGTCTAGCCAGACAGGCGTTCATAGAACAACGCACACTCAATCTGCCATGGTACAAAGGTATAGAAGATCTCCGACAAAGCCTTCAGTCAGTATCATCTCGCAGGTTGACCTACCCCAACCAATTCAAAACAGCACTACGTAGTACTTTTATTAACTGTTGGAACGATGAGCGGCAAAACAACCGGAAGCTCAGTTTCTACAACACTATCAAAAGTGAATTTACAGCTGAAGCGTACCTGAACCTGCAGCTCAGTGGAGAAGAGGTGAAGCGGCTGGCGCAGTTCAGAATGAGTGCTCATAAGTTCAACATCGAGACCGGTAGATACGCCATCAACCGTGAAAATCCGCTCAGTCGCATTTGTAAGCACTGTTCTTCATCAGACCTTGAAGCTGTCGGTATACTGGCCGAACTACCAATGTTTGAGCCGATCATTGAAGATGAGAAACACGTTCTCACGGATTGTTCGCTTTACGACGACCTGAGGCGAAACATAGGTCAGCAGGCGAGAACCATGATCACCTCTGGAGCGGAGACCTTTGCCGACCTCTTCAAGGATATCCTATTGATCAGAGAAACTGCCAGATTCTTGAGTAAAGTGAACAAGCGGAGGTTCCCCCCGAGTGACAGAAAAGAAAAGGAAGGACCTACAACATGACTCACGGACTCAACATGCGAAACGTGGATCCGACAGTGTGTTATTTTTCGTGTGCGTTTCACACTTTTGATTTAGTGTGGAATTTATGTGTGGATCTTAGGCATGGACACAAAGGACTGGTTGTTCGCGTCATGAACATTCCTTTTTAGAATAGCTCGGTTTTTAAACTCTTTAGACTATAACCGTCAACCGTGCATTTTTCAGGACAGGTTTCGGTTTTTTCGTTTTTGACTTTCATTTATCTTTATTTTTTAAAATTTAGATCCGACACAATGTTTATTGTAATGATCATTTTATTTTGAAATCCTTTTTTTTTGAAATCCTTGAAATCCTTGAAATCCTTTTTGAAATCCTTTTTTGAAATCCTACGGGTTCCTGCTAGTATAATTAAAGTAACAACTAACCAGGAGTGATGGGAGTAGCTAAGTTAAGTAAGTATTTAAATAAAGTAACAACTAACCAGGAGTGATGCAATGGTAGTAGCTAAGTTAAGTAAGTATCTAAGTAAAGTAACAACTAACCAGGAGTGATGGGAGTAGCTAAGTTAAGTAAGTATCTAAGTAAAGTAACAACTAACCAGGAGTGATGGGAGTAGCTAAGTTAAGTAAGTATCTAAGTAAAGTAACAACTAACCAGGAGTGATGGGAGTAGCTAAGTTAAGTAAGTATTTAAGTAAAGTAACAACTAACCAGTAACCAGGAGTGATGGGAGTAGCTAAGTTAAGTAAGTATCTAAGTAAAGTAACAATTAACCAGGAGTGATGGGAGTAGCTAAGTTAAGTAAGTATCTAAGTAAAGTAACAACTAACCAGGAGTGATGGGAGTAGCTAAGTTAAGTAAGTATCTAAGTAAAGTAACAACTAACCAGGAGTGATGGGAGTAGCTAAGTTAAGTAAGTATTTAAGTAAAGTAACAACTAACCAGGAGTGATGGGAGTAGCTAAGTTAAGTAAGTATTTAAGTAAAGTAACAACTAACCAGGAGTGATGGGAGTAGCTAAGTTAAGTAAGTATCTAAGTAAAGTAACAACTAACCAGGAGTGATGGGAGTAGCTAAGTTAAGTAAGTATCTAAGTAAAGTAACAACTAACCAGGAGTGATGGGAGTAGCTAAGTTAAGTAAGTATCTAAGTAAAGTAACAACTAACCAGGAGTGATGGGAGTAGCTAAGTTAAGTAAGTATTTAAGTAAAGTAACAACTAACCAGGAGTGATGGGAGTAGCTAAGTTAAGTAAGTATTTAAGTAAAGTAACAACTAACCAGGAGTGATGGGAGTAGCTAAGTTAAGTAAGTATCTAAGTAAAGTAACAACTAACCAGGAGTGATGGGAGTAGCTAAGTTAAGTAAGTATTTAAGTAAAGTAACAACTAACCAGGAGTGATGGGAGTAGCTAAGTTAAGTAAGTATTTAAGTAAAGTAACAACTAACCAGGAGTGATGGGAGTAGCTAAGTTAAGTAAGTATTTAAGTAAAGTAACAACTAACCAGGAGTGATGGGAGTAGCTAAGTTAAGTAAGTATTTAAGTAAAGTAACAACTAACCAGGAGTGATGGGAGTAGCTAAGTTAAGTAAGTATCTAAGTAAAGTAACAACTAACCAGGAGTGATGGGAGTAGCTAAGTTAAGTAAGTATTTAAGTAAAGTAACAACTAACCAGGAGTGATGGGAGTAGCCACCACACTTTGTCTACTTTGTCTCTCAGGTGTCCTGTGAAGCACACTCTTATCTGTTATCAGTACACTGTCGTACAGTGATTCTGTAGGTAAACAGTTCTCTTTGTTCGCTGAACTCGTCGATCTACCGTTTTTTTAGGTTAGGATATTTTTGTAAGTTTCTAAAGTTAACGGACAAAATTACCGTTGGCGGTTGGACACTGTATGAGTTTAACCGAAGTGCACTTCGGTTAAACTCATACAGTGTACTTAAAGCACTTAAGTGCTTTAAGTGGATGATGTTAATAGCAAATCATATGCTATGAACATGCTTAATAAGCATATGGTCATTGTTAAGTGTCCACTGAACGCCTTAAGTTCTGGTTATATGTTGAACTCTCCATGTAAATATGATAATAAACTTGTTCTGCTTTTCAAGACAAAATCCCTAAGTTTAAAGAAGTCCTCGACATTTCGTAAGCTTAAATCTCTTGGATTAACGTCGGGTATAAAGAATTTAAATAAATCATTTCGATGTCGACCTTTTCTACTCATTCGTCAAGGCAAATCGTAACATATGACAAAAAATTATCCAGCCTTAGTTTATTAGAGTATTAGGTTTGACTCTTTTAGAAAATGTGTTTGTTTCACAGCTATTATACAGTTCGTTGATCAATCCAGTAGGCCAATGAATCTTGGGAATGTGTCGGAGGTGCTTTCTGTGGGTAATATCTAGCTGTACTAGTTTTACTAGAGGAGCAGCCTAACTGTTGCTATTGCAGAGCAGTTATCAACTACGTTGATAGAATTAATATTGTTCTTAGTTATACTCTTTATAAGTACATGCACTACTGCACTGCATTCTAAAGCATACACTTTCTATAATCTATATTCACATTTTACATGCTTGTTACAACTAGTGCTAGCTAGATCGAGCTTTTGTTGTGGAGCAACTTATTGTCAGAGCTTTAATAAACTGAAAAGAACGACGCACGGGCCCCCCCCCCCCCCCCCCCCCCGACGCACAGATATTTTCCTTTATGTTTATTATTGATGGCGACAAAAAGCTTATAGTTATTATAAAAGTAAATCTGCGCTGAAAGGTTAAGTATAAGAAATTTAAAATTTAAGAACCCCGACAAACCGTTTAGGAGCAAAGCGGGAGGGGGAGGTTGATCTGATATGTTCTGGAGTAGGATTGTAGCTGACATTGCTGGCTGGGTAGTTGTAGTTACAGACCGGTGTACGCTGGAATAATGATCATAGTTAGTCACGTGATCATAGTTAGCCACGTGATCATAGTTAGTCACGTGAGAAGTGTAAAAAGAGTAAAGCCGCTTTTTTCCCATTTTGTGAATGCCGAACTGTGGAATTTACCGAAGCTGAAGTGCGAGATTCACATCAAAACCAAAGGTCGTAAAGATATGACAGTGTCATACCTCTACGTTCTTTGGTTTTGATGATAGTTTGACAATAGTTAACCAATTCCTATCATTAACATTAGAACTTATAGATTTGCGGAGCCCTGAACACACTCCTTCATCCCTAAGTGGACAATTACACGAGTTTCACCCACCTGCTCAAGGTTATAATTCTACTCTGAGTAGCAAATTGCGGCTAAACGGCTAATCAGTGACCCACGTGAATATTGAAACATTGTCCATTGTTTGAAGTAAATTACTCAATGTTACAGTCTCGTGTGATTTGTTGCTATGACTTTTGATAATTTGACAGTGAAAATGTCTCTACCCGGTGTATTTTTCAGTGATCGATTTACACTTCGAACAAATGCGTACAATCTTCTTGCTTCTATCTTCACGAGCCATGACGATATAACAGACACACAATCATCGATACAATACTAAGATAAAACAGCGAAATGAGATTCATCCCAAATATTAAGTAACTGATAAAAAGTAAGATGGCTAACCGATGGTGATTTAGGAGTTCCGAGAAGAATGCCAGGTAGGGAGGTTGCAGTACCTTGTTGAGGGGTAGTACTCGGACTTCGTAATAATTCTGACATTGTACCACCTTGTATACTGAGTTAGTGTGGTTAGTGAGATGGTGATGATGGTGACAAAGCAATATCACTATAAAATCACAAACGTGTAACATAGTCTTACGATACAGTTGTGAACTGATTTCTTAATAGTTCATCACAAATTTTCCTCGTAAGTATAATATTCATGAAATTGACAAAACTTAATTATAAATGCTTTCTTTGAAATGCTTGCCTTGAACAGATCCCAAAGATGGCATCGAACTTTCAAGAGTGATATTTTCATGCAGACGAGAATAAAACTATTGACTGTTGTGTTTCTGTCATAGTAAAAGTTAGATCTGTTGGACAGAAGAAATGCAATATATCTCATGAATAGAATATGATATAAACTTCAATAATCAATATAACAAAAACATGACAACATTATAAAATCTTTCAGAGTCAAGTAGAGTCGTTCGATGTTCAGTCATGTAAAGGATACATTCTTAAAACAGAAGTCAAACAATTCAACATAATGGACAATATCATGAAGGTTTAAATAACTTATGGGTCAAAAGTGCGACATCATAAAAATACAAGAAAATTTCAGCGGATCAATCAATCATATAATGTATAATCTCAAATAAAACTATAAATTTTGAATCATAAACTATCGAATTTTATAAAATGCATTTAATCTAAAATATTATCTCTGCTTCAAATACAACAGGTATGGTATCAATGTTTGATATAGTCTCTTAGGAGTTTTTAAGAGCTGATGCTTGGGAGGCCGTGCGTTTGCTTGTGATTCTTGATAGCTTGAGCGTACCAAGTAGTTTCAGCAACCATCCGGTCTATGTAGTCAACCATATTCTTGTCGATACAGGACCCTGGAATAGGTATGATTTATAATATTCAATCAGTTAATCTCGTACCTTAGCCAGCTCTCACCCACTTGCCATAGTAGGGCTTGACAACAAGATTCGGACGCGCCCCAAAGACTAAATATTTCCCGATTCTAGCCAAAGCTACATTCTGAAGTATGTCTCCTCTCCGTAGTACAGGATGGAAAAGATTTAAACAATCAGTAGCTTTAGAATATACAACCAGTGGTCTAATTTGAGTGGTAAGGAGCAGTTTATTCACTTTGTTGTTTATTAATGAACCAGTTCTGTACGAGCTGTTTAGCTAGATGGCGTTTACTAGTGAGATAAGGGTATTATATTCAGTTAATATTTACTTTTAATTATACAAAGCAAATAATAAATTAGGGTATTATATTCAGTATTAATTCGGATATCATCTCTATGTAATCAAGACCGACCTAGTTTAAATAAATCCTAGCCACAATTATATTCGCTTTATTGTTTAAATACACGTGCACAGTAAAATGATCAGAGTTCATTTGGATATCGTCTGTTTAAATCACGAACTGATCCCTACAATAGGTGCTGTCCACTAATCACCACCTAATGTACACGTGACTAGTCACTAGGTTGGTACTTGTAATATGGAGCACTTAAAAGGATCCACAAAATATGGTCACTTGATGGGGATACAGCTTTTTTAACGGACACTATCGCAGAGGTCTTGCCTTGTTGCTTCAAATATGCTGTTTAGTATTCCATAAAAAATCAGACGTGTTGATAGTTGCCATGACTACTGCGGTAAAAGTGATTTTTGTTATATTAGCATGTATTAGTAATTGCTACGATATAATTTGTCGTTGAAAAATGTATTGAAGGCTACCATTACAGGCTACAGCAGAACGGTGTTTAAAAGCATACTGTATATTTTGAAAAAATTAGAAAAATTAAACCCAAGCTGTCCAATTTTAACATACTGCATTCAAGGAGCCAGCATAACACAGAATACCATAATTACCACTATAATGTTCGTTAATGACCCCGACTTGACGACGGCAGCTTTCTCACTATTGTTAACTTTAACACTTAACTTTACTGAGACATTGTTAAACTTGCTTCAGGTGGAGGAAATTGGATTATAAATCAGATGATTATAAATTCATATCCTGAACTTCATGATACAATGCATGCTCCACAGTAAGGACGAAGGGTGTATAACCTTTCAGTACCTTGAGTGTGCATTTAATTAAAGTAAAGTCGCTCTATATAGCAGGCCAGAGGTAACCTGTCTCTACTATATGTAGATTATCTGGTAGGGTTAATATAGCCTTTTGGAACTTATAACTGTCAAGAACTAATAACTGTCAAGAGCAACCTTATCTTTGCGTCAGTTTTGTAATTCAGCTCTGTAATTCATCTGCCTAATTTTCATGCAGAATATCGACTACGTGGGCCAAGCTTGATGGATTCTGTAAATGTTTAATTGATTCGGTAATTGATTCATTTCCGTTATGGACAGAGAATGATTGATCAAATTTATAATTTAGTATGTTTTGTTGTAAAAATGGCTTTAAAATGTTTTTCGGTGATCGCACTATCGCAGGTTAAGATTTACTATATAGTCATAGTTGAAAGCATTTCTGCGTTAAGAACCTTTTTTGATCGGATCGATTTTTATGTGAATTTTGATTGGCTGACCTCAATGATAATATCTAAAAAACCGCTTATGATTGATAAAATGTATTTAGTATTTTTTGTTGTAAAAACGGCTTTAAAACTTTTTTCAGTGATCGCACTATCGCAGGTTAAAATTTATTATAGTCATAGTTGAAAGCATTTCTGCGCTAGGATCCTTTTTTTACCATAGAATCGATCGAATCGATTTTTATGTGGATTTTGATTGGCTGACCTCAATGATAATATCTAAAAAACCGCTTATTTTAAATCGGCGCACTTTCATTAGCCACAAATAAAAGTAAGTTACTTATTTAAAGCATACGTCTGCTCCAAAATGAGCATATATAATCGTAATTATTTTTTAACATACTACAGTTATTTTATGCCTGGTCTGTGGTCTCCACTCTCCATACAATTCTTAGCTAAACCATCAGACTTATTCCCAAAAGAATACTAGAGTTCGTTTAATAAGTTAGAAAGGTCGAGAGTATCCAGCGCCACAGAAGATTTAAACCGTCACGTTCAAAAGCCCGCTATCTGTTTGACTATCACTCAATAATAGGTCCTGAAATTCCAGTAATCTGTACACTGTAGCACTGAACTCTGGTCACAACCAGCACCCTGACAGGCTGACATACAACTATAGTAAACACAGCCTAATATCGTGGTGCTTAAATATAATGGTTTAAGTTACAAAGCACTGAACTCCCTACAATTTCATTGGCTTATTTACTAAGATCGTTCAATGAAACTAATCAAATCTGGCTCCTCGCAGGTTCATAGAAACTTCATTCATTATAACTTCAATCTTAATGAGCTCTGAACTTTGCACAAAAATCCTTTAAGTACGAGATGAGATCATGACAGACCATCATTTGCCACGCGTTTTTAGCAATTCCACGCGTTTCTCCGCTACCCATAGCTTGTAATACTGCGACTCAGAGAGCATGGATTAGCCTGTTCAATGCCTTATTTTAGTTTAGTGAAAATGACAGTCGACTGCACTAATTTGACTATCATGGTAACTGACAAAGTCACTGGGTGGGCCGCGGGATTTGGCGGCCACCCAACAAGGCACATACTTTGGGCTGGGTGGTTGTTATTAGTTTATTACTTTTCATTTGTCACTTGTTATCACACTCTTCAGCGGTTTACGTCTAATTTCAAGTCTAGGAATATGAGTACGTTGATAACTTGGTGTGTGTTACAAGCGGTAATTAGTTATTCACGGGTCGGTATCTTTCACTTGAATGTGTTAACAGCTTCCCCGATTTTACGCATTATTCGAATTTTTTCATTGAATTTGCGTCCCGGATTTTCGTAATCTCGTTGGCAAAACATTAAAGTATTTATTCCATAAGTTGTTTAGACTGCAAGCTTTGCTGTATTTAGAGCATCTAGGACATCAGTTGTAACCGTTTATCGTGTTGATCATTATCCTAATTGTTGTAATTTATTATCAATACTTTCAAGTCAAGCACGTGATAAATCACTGAACTTGATTCTAAGATTTTCAGCTCATTGTCCATGCAAAGGGGAACGATGACAAATAACCACATTTAAACAGCTCACTATGAGCGATAACCACAGCTGCTTCTCTGTTATTAATAGCGTCACAATTTATAATCGGACTGCATATTTTCTGTGATTTTATTGTTGCCAAACATATTCTGCTTAATCAGTCGAAACAGAGTACATCTTTTTAGTCTCTAGTTCAAATAATTGCCGGGGCTGAAAGATCAGAGTTTTATGATTTATGATCGGTCGACGATTTTACGATGATCATTCAATTTGTCGCGGTCCCAAACCTCCAAAATATGACCTACCTCGCAAGTCTCAAGAGAACGGCAAAATTGCTCCAACTATAATAAATTCTGTAGAGTCAGACGGATACTAATGATTTTTGAAATGTCAAGTCACTAGTAAAACTAGTAATTAAAGTACGGAACCATTATTAAAAGAAAATGTATCATTTCTTTCAATGAGGGTTCCAGGTCGTTGGTGAGACTATAATCTGAAAACTTTACCCAAACTTGCTAAATTATAGAGAGTATTTGGCACTGTATATTGTTTAGTGTTATAGTGGCCTCATGTAACCTCATTTATCTTTTGACATAAGCTCATCTAATACTGGCCAAAAATACGTTTTTATGCTTCATCAGTTTCGTAGATCTTACTTGAAGATATTCTCATCACTGTCACCACATCGGCACTAGAAAGGAAAGTGCCCGCTAATAATACCAAGAGGTGCTGGAACCAGGTGCTGATGCGCTGGTATTTCTAAATTGTCATTTAGCACTTATAATGACGATAGCGCTGTATCATGATGCCCGATATTGATAGGAACGTGACTCTTCTCGTAAAATTAGTTATAATACAAATTGTAAAGTTACATCAATTTGGGGTTGCTGTTTTGTCTTTGACTTCTGCACTTGAGTTCTTTTACTGAACATTTTGACTCGTAATTTTATAACTTTTTCTAACCTATTTTCATTGTATTTTACTGTGTATGATCCAAATGACCCACCCACCCAAATGTTGGACAAGGTAAACGTGGGAACTGCTGTTTTTTCTTTTTCATATTAGTATCACCTTTTTCACCTTCCCTCACACAAATGCAGCTGGACTGTGAAAACATTGTACGAGCTCATTTTAATTGATTTAGCTGACCAAATAAACCAACTGATCCATGTCAAAACAAATGGGTTCGGCCGCTTGATATCTTTTGTCGCATAATGCATATACAGGATTAATAACAGAGATACCCGGGCTTTTGTACTGGAACGGTGGGCCGTGGGAACATATTTATATTTGTCTCACCAGTCACTGTGTAACCCCACGATAAGCAGCGATCTTTGGTACTTGTCACCTCTTCAAACCCTCGATGATTCAAATATTTCTGATAAAGATCTACTACGTGTATTGAATCTAATATTCCTATTGTCTTAATGTAGCGTGAAATATTTGATTCTTTTATTGAATATAATCCAACCAAATTTGATGACAATATCAAAATGCATATAAGAGATCTTGAATCTTTTGATATTTGATTAGAATATTTCTCAGGAGAAGATTTTGCATTGGATCTAAAGTATCCATTCTTAACAGTACCTCTTGCACGATTACAAAAGATCATAAGAATTCGATTATTAGTAACTTATTAGTACAAAGCGCCGCGAAAAACTGACTACTCCTAATTTTCAAAGGAATTGGAACGCAGTATGTGGATCTGTTTAAACCCATCGCAGTTTGCAGTAAATAGTTTTGTTTTCGCACCAGTTTTTAACTTCGTTAGTGTAGTTAGAACTAAATCAGTGTAGTTGCCTGCAATTATTGTACTCTGACTGTATACAATGGATTTCTCGGTTAACTTACTTCACACCATGGAAAAGGATATGAAGTTTGGGATTCTACAAGTGTTGAAGGCTGCTAACGTGTCTTCCACGATGGAACTCGATAAAAGCATTCTGATGAAGGTGGACAAGGACCCGCTTATAATATTTGTTAACAGTCTAGTGAATTTAGTTGAAAAGAATTTGGAACTATGCAAATTAGCCGCGAATAAAATAGATCAAATGAAATCAGAACTGATTGAGAATCAGAAAGAGCTCCTGAAAAAACAGCAGGATCAGATTGATTCAGTGCAGAAAACAGTTAAAACTGAAATCAAAAGCTGGGCGGATGTTGTAAAGAAGAACATAAATCAGACCAAACTGTTGACAACAAAAACAGTCAAGGAAGCCGTCAGAGCGGTTAACAATGAGGAAGAAAGATCCAGAAACTTCATAATCTATGGCTTGGAAGAAAGCGCAGAAGAAGAAGAGGAAGATTTACCAGCGATTGTTTGCGGAGTATACGACAGGACTGGGTTTTCTTGTCCTGCAGGCACCACAGATATTTACAGACTAGGAAAAAAGACACCCGACAAAACGCGTCCTATCAAGGTTGAGATGGAAACACTGGGAGATGTGCAGTTCATGCTGAAGAATGCCTACAAACTGAGAGCAGATGAGCATTTCAAATTAGTTTATTTAGCCCCGGACCGGACAAAAGAAGAAAGAAAAGCACATGGTAAACTTATCAGTGAGATGAAAGAACTGATCAAACGGGACTCAAGCAAGCACTACTTCATTCGTGATAATAAAGTGAAGTCTGTTGATAAGACCTTATCTACAGGCTGAATATGTTTTGTGTATTAAAAGTGTGTTTGGTTAATGATCAACCAGCATTTTTAATTCGATGCCAGATGTAGATATCTGCAGCTCATAATAAGTTTTCATATTATAGTACTAGTCTTGTCAACAAACTGAACAGCAAGGTCCTTTCATGACAAGTGAATTTTATTCTTTGTTATTGTAATATTATTATATATTATGACTGCTATACAATTTTTTTACTGACTGAAGTAAATTGTCAGTCAAACCCAAAAATAAAAGCGTCATTTTGTTCACAGCCGCACTGGCCCCTGATATCTAGAGCAATTTTACTGGGTGCTCCATTCGTGTGCTCCTATCCTGCGACAAAGATGTAATAATGCCAATGAATATATTAGAGCAATTTTCATTCTCATGCCAATTAATTGCATAAAGGTTAGAACAATCATACAGAGTATTATTGTCGAAGGATCTTTGTCGCATGATAGATCATACAAATTGCAGACGAATACAAAGTGCTTTTTCATGCTAATTTGATTAAGAATTGAACAAGAAAAGCAATATCAGCAAAGGTTGCGTTTGCACTAATCCCGACAATACGTATCACACATACGAATTTTGAGATGTGATCTAACTTAATCATTGTCACAATGATTCATTGTGGTGTTATTTTGTCGGAGAATGAATTCCTTTTCCTATTCATATGATGTTCCTGATTTGATGGTAAAAATGAACTGTTCATATCGGGGGGGGGGGGGGGGGCATACCAGTCCTATTGTCGACTATATAAGCAGTGAAATGAGGTTCAGATAGCTACATGTGTGATCGCTACCTGGTAAATATCTGTAAATACCTGTAATTTGATGACACCTGATACGTGCGAATAAAGGAGGAACCTTCTAGCTTTAACACGATTCGTTATGACCTTTACTTTGACAACGTAGTTAACAATGTTCCGATAATTTTCCGGTGGTAAGCGTAATTACAAATTAGGGTATTTAATATTCATGCCACTTAATGTTAACTTACAGCTCCAACGGTAATGTAACTTGCTAAGCTAGTAACGACTGCTATAAGGATAAAAGGTTAACTAAGTTTGATTATTTTCGTGTGCTTATTTCATCAAGTGGTAAGGTACTAAATCGAAAGTGAAAGTAATTTGAGTTCCTTGGCTCGTCACAACTCACGTCACCATTTCTTTACCTACTCGAGATTTCTGTTCTGTAAACCTTACTTACGGTCTTGGTGTCTTGTGAATTCACACATTCTAACAGCTAACTCAATAAAGTGCATGCTTCAAAATATCTAAAAGGGTCGCGTCGCGATCCTTAGTCCTCAAGAATAGCTAATAAGCTTCCCATTTATTTTAGCAGATCATGTTTCTGAAAAACCAATGTAAATGGTGAATATAATGTATATCCATCATCTAGTTCTCAGTTTTGACAATTTAGTCTCGAATATTCGTGTAGCAGGATATTGTTAATTTTTGCACGTGGACGATTAACTCTGATATTTTAAAATTTATTGCACCACGTGCAAGAATTAACAATATCCTGCTATACGAATATACGAGACTAAATTGATATATATCCAATCTTTCTGTGCTATTGCTGGGTTCCGAAACTTTTATTGGTTCCTTTCCCGGCTTACATGTCCAGGGTTTGAGCTTCTATTTTGTTGATACAATTGTTTAACTGGTATTTATTTGTATACGATGCCGTATGTCATTAAACAGATGATACTGGTATAGCATAAGTATTGAGTTACGCAGGATCAGTTTTTAACCTTAGATTGCCAAGATGTCAAGTAGATTCTTGATTATGCTCGAATTTGTAATGAGTACTAATATAAGCACTCATAAGTAATATAAGCACTCATGAGTACTAATATAAGCACTCATTAGTAAGGGCATTGTAAGGGTTCATGTTTTTTTAATAATACTATCCGATACAAAATTATATGTTATCTGCAAGAGTATAATATCATACTGTAACTGTAAGCAGGTGAGATTGGATGGCTGATCCATTTGATATCAAGGAAAATGTCTGTTTCAACGAGACGGAAGTGTGCTCTTTTCGTATCATTAACGTGAGTAGTAAAAACTGCTGAATTTGTATTTCAGATTAGGATGGTAAAAAATCACAAGCTCCTTAGCACTTTATTGTACAAGCAGAAAAAGCAGTGCTCCTGATTTCCTAACACAGTACATATATCTCATTACAGGGTTCGATACTAACGGTGATCGGTATTCTTGGTTTCTCAATGTCCAGCACAGTGCTCTATCTCTTAGTTTTCAATGTCATAAGACTTCCAGGCAATAAGGTAAGTCTGTTACAAATTACATTCTTTTCACGAATTTGTTAGATTTTTCTTAAATCTGGTATAAATTTGTATTATTATAACTCTGACCTGTCCCTGTTTCAGAACATATTTATAATAAACGTGTCCATGTTTGATGCGATGTTAGCTATAATTGGTACAATCAGAGGATTGGGTATCATATCTAAATCAGTTCTTGGAGTCGGAGATGACTTGGAGGCCTCGTCCTGGTGTCGCATCTTCACTATCATAGCTGCGCCGTTATGGTGAGTCATTAACTTTTGGTACGTTCCATCAGAAAATCTTAAAACCATTAATGTTTCTCAAGCTTAAGAGAAGCGTGAACTGAAGCTATTCTAAAGAAATTTGAGTTCACTTCAATGAGGATAGTTTATAAAGAGAATCATGATGACGTTTACAACCAGTAACACATAATTGAAATGTATTCAACAATATTTATAGGGAAAGTTTAATAATCTCGCTTCTCCCGCTCACTCTGGACCGCTTTGTGGCGATAGTCTTCCCCACAAGATACAAGAGGTTAATGACAGATCGATCAAGCCTTGCTCTGGTTGTTGCTTCCTGGGTGCCACTGATCATTTTAAATCTTCACGATATCCTTTCCTTCAGATTAGGAAAATTACAGGTAAGTTACTGTTATTGTTAATCTCAGAATACCTTGTCACATGATAGACCTTTGACAGTTGTTTTTGTCTTACAGCACTAAATCAAAACTTAATAAACCACATCAATCATGATTATAACCATCACGATCGTTCTACCTAAAAGTCGCAAGTCGGAGTCAAAAGACACAATCTATATTTCAATAATTAATAATTAAATTAATGATAAAGATAAAAATAAAGAATTAAATTAATAATTAAATAAATGCCATCTCATATTTCAGATTGACTATTTCCACCCCTACAACCGCTGCGCGTACTACAACCCCTGGAAACAACAGCAATCCCTCTTTCTGGGCCTGCCCTTCCTTCTTATCTTAGTGATGTATATCATCATGGTAACTGTTATCATCAAGAACAAAATCAAAGCTACCAAACTAATCCTCACCACCTCTGTCATCATTGTAACTAGTCTCCTTACCACCCAACCCTTCTTGTTGATGTCAAGTTTTGGAGTTCAGATGTCGTATGAAACTTCTCAGATACTCACTGTAACTTGTTATTATTTGAATGGTATTGTCAATCCAATAATTTACTTGTGCTGTAATACGAGAGTTCAGAAACAGTTTGTTGCTAAAGCTTCAAGGCACAGATCAGAGGAGTCCAGTGGCAATGTTATGAGCTTCAGTTTGTCTTTTAAAAACAAGACAAACAGTTGAATTGAGTTGTTACAATAGAATTGTCACTTATAAGTTAGGTCGTATTGTTCTATCATTTTTATTAGGTTCTAAATTCTTTGCTTCTTGGATCGCATCAGTTGTGGGCACGTTTTAATTCTAGCTCATTTCGAGATCGAATGTCAAATGATTATTATATTCGTACGCTAGCAGAAGAGTTATTCCATGCCATGGTTAAGTTAGTTCCGTTATCTATGAATCATTGTCATATTCTGTTGATTTCAATATCTATTATCTAAGATATGAATTTCAATACGCTATAATTTATATATAATGAAATGCATGGTTAAAGGGAAAAAAATAGTTTGTTAAATAAATAATTCTCTCCGCCTCGTAAAGAATAACAAACTTACCGTTCTCATCAAACTTCTTGTTAACAAAGTCTACTTTGACGGAGGCCGGAACAGTAAACATACCAATGTCCGTGACCATGGCTTTTAAAGGTGTTTGTACTCTTAGTCCACCTCCAGAGCCCATACTGTACGTGACTAACCCTATCATTAGAATTAGTATTAGAATTAATTTAAACTATTTACCAGAGACTGTTATCAGACTGTGCATGTGGGTGATGTACATAATCAAAACCATTTGCGTGGAACACACTGAGATTTTAATATTGAATTATATGTTATGCTTTTAACATTACATAACTTCCGCACATACCGATAGGTCTGTGTTTGAACGAAGCAGGTGGAAAGTGATCGAGCATGTTGGCCAAAGCAGGCGGTATAGCACAGTTGTATTCTGCTGAACATGCTATGAAACCATCAGCTTGCTCAATTTCCTTTTTCCGGTCCATCATCCATTGTGGTACAGTACTCTAAATCAGATACCTGTGTTTAGTGGTGGGCTACATTCGTGTGCAGTAAAATTTTAGTTGTAAAAACAGATTATGAATGAAAACTAAGTCTGTCTTTCATTAAAAACACGAAATTTTCGCTAAAATTGATTACATATTTCGTGGGAAAGGAGTGGTCACGGTAGAGGTATGTATGAGATTTTACCGTACCTTGTCTTTTATCATCTGAATAGGTTGTTGTAATAAAGGGAAGTTGAGAACTTTAGGATCCCACATTGACACCTCGTGACCTGCACTCTCCACACGTGACTTTATCACTGCTCCAACTCTAGGTACCATTATAATTTATAGGATACTTGTAGCAAACTTACAGTGGGATATGTCAGGTAAGAATTAAATGCTGATTCGAAAGCTAGATCATGACAAATTCGTAAGAAACAAGAATTTCCCCGGGCCGCGGTTATACCAAACCCTATCGAATTTCTATATTTTCTCTCTCCTAAATCAAGATATTCAATAAATGATACTGACCTGTCACCCCAAGATCCATTACCAGTGAAGCTGGGACCAATTCTAGTAGAAGACAAGAACACTATAAATCTCATCCTAGGGAGTGGCGATTAGTGTGGTAGTTTAATTGATTGATTAATCTAATTGAAAATAATTTTTGAAATGTTGTTAAATTAAAATATCGATTGACACAATTCCAGCAAATCAATATTTCAGTAAATCAATATTTCAAGCTTTAAAATACCATAGTGCAGTGTTATGATCGTAATCTCTTCGATCAATATTTAAGCTCAAACCAATATATTCGTAATCAATGAAACAGCATTAATAATAAGGGTTTGATAAATTAATGAATGATTAAACTTAAATAAGTATATATGATAAGCATATGTACATCTGTAAATATCTTTATACACTTTACAATGTGATAAACTGATTTAATAAAAATATCTGATCTGACCAAACTTGAAATCAACTGAATAAATATTTTAAGCCGAAAGAAAGTATTACCGTATTAATTAACAGTTCGAACAAACTATGCACTTAAAGTACTAACGTACACACAACACTTGTATCCTGTGAACACTTCAACACATCACTATGTAATTTACACAGGAGATTTGTCCAGGGCAGTGTTAAGCCCATGGTACTCGTAGTTGCCCGCAGCAGCCATGTGCGATGTAAACTTGTTACCTCGGCCGTGGAACTGGTTAGGCATGGTGTGGATTGAGGGAGCTGTTCCTCCGTAGGTGCTGGTAATAAGAGGAAATAGTTAGCATGTTTTATTATAAATACCTTGAAGTTCTGATAAAAATTTCCGTTTTAAGCCTAGGTCCATGTTTTTAGCTACGTCACTTTCATATAATACGGATCTAGTGCTAACAATTAGTTCTGCCAACCTGCTAGAAGTACGGTAGACAGGATGAAGAGGCTTCTCTTCGTAACCTTTTAGAACCGAGGGATCATTAAACCTGTGAAATTGTAACAGTTAATTATTACTTTTAATTAGTTAAATGGTTAATTAGTTAATTAGTTAATTAGTTAGTTTCCAGTTAGTTATTCCTTTTAAGTTTTATCTTCAGGTCAAAGACTCTTTATTAGTTTTAACATGATCTTACAGGCTGCAATTTAAGGATAAAATCTCATTTTAAGCATTTGTATGCTGTTATTATATTATCCTGTCCATGAAGCCATGATAAACATGTTGATATTGTTTTAGATGGGCACTGATTACCTTTCAGGAAGTTTGGTCAAAGTCTTGTACACGTCAGACGTTTTTGCCTGAAAAGTAAACTTCATGTAGGAATTGATCACAATGATTCTCATTATTTTTGAATGATTTTTCAAAATTCAGGATCAAGTATAGGCTTGGGGTTATTAGGGAGGTGATTTTGGATTCTACTCGATTGGTCCCTGGTAAAGCTAATTGAAATCGCCTGTTAGATTACAGTATACTTTTTGATTATAAAAAACGATGATTGCATTGGTTAATATTCCGTAATGCTTGAACTCACATTGTCGGTTTTGGGTGCCTCAGCCATGCTTGCTTGTATCCTAGAGCGATACAATTAGATTTATGAATTTAGCATTGATTGAATAGACTAAAAGTTCGAAAATAGTATCAGACAAAATAAGGGAAATCAATTTTAGATATGAAAGCAATGAAACAAGTAGAAACCAACAGTTAAGTATTGAGTAAAATCATAAAAAGCAGTAAAAGAAGTAAGAAAACATTCATTGATTTTTGAAACACAGTAAAAATCAAATGGAATATGTTAAATTAACACTGTTGAGTGAATGTGTGCTGTGGAATCAGAATATTATTTGTTTAGTGTCCACAATCCCTTGTAAGTCATTAATCGTTTTTGCAGATTTCAGATTTTGTCTTGCATGTCAAACATTGCATAATTTTACGAAAGTTTAAATTTAACCAGTTAGATTCTAAAAGCCGCTGTCTACCGATGAGCAACACATGTGTTACTGTTTGTGTGTAGCACATCTAAAATAAAAATGGCTTAAAGCCTCTTTTATATCACAAATGTTTTTTATTAATTAAGAAACACAGCTGCGATAAATTTTCAGCAATAGAAAGAGAATCAGTTTTGTAATTTAAAATTTGATGACTCGACTTAATATCATAAGAGGGCTCTGCACTATAGACTAAGGGTTGAATCGTTTTTATTGGCTTTGTAATTTCTTTCCCTTTTCCTGTAAATATATGTCATTATAAACAATTATTGACAATTATAAAAATTTTCTTTGCGTGTGCCTTTCAGCCACCTACTTTGCTGTTCTTGCTTATGCACTCACCCACTCCTCAGTGGGGTGTTTAATTGCAATGTTCCAAATTATTTTTATAAATGTTCCAATGTTGTGGTGACATATGAAACTTAATGCTAGAACAAAGAACTAAAAGGGGGATTTTCAATGAACCTACCTTCTTCTGGGGGTAACTGAATCACTCTAAGGTGAGGTATCAATCTCTGTTCTTCCTCCTGCAAAAATTGTCCAAAATATAAATAATCATGCGCTTATACTTATGACTCTGTTGAAAATATTTGAAATACCAACCTAATTATGTCATAACTCTAAATAAAATTATCGAGAAAAGACACTATGACTGTTATAACCTGCTCTTGAAGAAGAATAAAAATGTTTTCATTCTCTCTGAATTTCTCAGGAGGATCTCCTCTGATTTTACACACATTGTGACATATGTCGTCTATCCAGTTAAAAAACTCATATGATGAGTCCTCTTTTCTGAAATCATGGTCATTGGCATCAACAAAAATGTAGATTACATAATACGAAAGTCAGAGAAATAAGTTAATAAACAACAGTTGCAGTGCTCAAACAGAAATATTCACTTAAAAATAAGAAAAACCTAAAAATATGAACTAGATATTATCATTTTAACACTTACTGGAAACGAAAAGTAATTGAAGACTTCAAAAGATTAACCTCCAACCTCCTGAACGGCGGATAAACGTTTTGCCATCTATACTGGCCAAACCTTTTATGTTCAGGTTTAGAGACTAATTTATAATGAAGATTCAGCAGTGTCTCCATCATCAATTCAACCCAAAATTCAGACTGTTCGTTATTGATAGCAAGAATAACCTTATCATTGCCATTTGGATGACTTGTGAACTCGGTCACATCAGAAATGACGTCAAATATCCTTAGTTTTGCAAAGAGCTCTTTTGTACTGTATGCAAACTTTACTTCCATTCTAAAAGAGGTTTAAAATAAGTTTGTGTTAGATACCCAGTTTGTGTTAGATACGATACCCAGTTTGTGTTAGATACGACATTATTGTCGTATGTACAAAACCTGTAAAACAAGTTTAATTATGGTTAGGGCACAGCCTGTCAAAAACCCTTTTCGCGACACCGCCTGAAGGTGACTTCATAATAACGGATCAACGTGGAATCAAACGTTAATAAGCTTGCAGCTTCCGATGTCAATGTATCCATCCTAGTGTCGCATGCTTGAACTGGTTTTGGACCTCTTCATGCTTTCAATTAATTTATTATTGTTATTTAGTATTATGAGCTGATGTGTACATATACATACGGTATCTAAAAATTAAGCGTATAGCGAGCATATTTAAACAATTTTCAAGCAATAATGTATTGCAAGCAGCTTCAACTTAAATAACGCATAAAAATCATTTAACTTAAAACTAAAATTTTATTGGAATATAGGGAAAACTAAAATAAAATTAATGTCAGACCCGTCGCCACTCTCAGCAGTCAACCAGGGCTCATAAAAGCTTAACAGCGCCTGGGTCCGTTCACCAACTGTGCTAATGTGAGTGGCGGTGTGGTAAGACCCATTTTTAACAGCGTGAATATTTATTAAATACAAGCGCGCTAGCTGCTAGCATACTTGTTTCATTTAATTTTAAATCAAATTTATTCGGATATATATTTATTGATTATGTATTCAATTGGTGATAAATAATAAAATTGTCTTTTCTCAAAAAAAATTGTCTTTTCTCAAAATACTTTATTACATAACAAAATAACTTTGAATTCAACCAATTCCAAATAAATACCTAATGAATAACGATTATAAATACCTACCGATTGGACGGTAGTCTGCTGCCACTAATCCGCAACTCTCCGCTCCAATCGGTTAATCCACCATTTTTTTTGACGGAGGAGGAGCCTAGTTAATCCGTCTGCATCGCTTAATCGAGTTAAAAATTTAGCCAATAACAAACTAAATTACATGTTATACTGATATCAGACGTAGAGTTTATAACATACAAATTCTAAATTTTTGACGGCTGACGATGGTAAGTCGCTACGTTTAACTCGGGACTTTTATAGTTTTAAGTCTTGGAGCTCAAAATGTCTCGTGCTGTGGGCCGTATAAACGGCGCACACCACCGCCCCGCCTTACTGCTTACATTACTTCATGGTTGCAGGGCGGAGCCGGTGCCGTTTGTCTCGGCCTCGAGTGGCGAGTGCTTGCCCATCGAATACACGATTGAAACACTAATTATTTACTGGCATTCTACAGTTTCCAAAACGAAGTACGAAGGTATATTAACTTTGAGCTTTGTTTTGGCGACTGCTTCATCGATGGGCGAGTAGGTATTTGTTGTTTAGCAGTGTTGAATATTGGAGCAATTATATGATGTATATCTCCATCATAATATAGGCTAGTGTAAACATATATAATCAATAATACAAACAAATAGTATTATATTATTGGTAACTCGCTAGATTATAAATGTTATTTAAACACATATGTTTACGTCAATTATTACTAAAATTAATATTCTTTTTGCTTTAATATAATTACATGTCACATAATTGATTAGTTGAATGAAACGTGTGCTACAAATGTCTACGCCTCACGCAGAACTGCGTACCGCTTAGTACTTCATGCTTGAGCGGTACTGCTGTTCACAGAGTTTTAATACTTTCAACACTACTATATAACAAATAATTTGAGCAATGGTTATGTTAACAATGAACTAGAGACCTTGTTTGGACGATGGGGGGCTCAAGGAGGATGGATCACTGCTCCTAGAAAATGAGTTGAGTTGTCAGTTCGGTTCGTCATGTGTTCACATACCACTAGTCACTACACCTAATAAAAACCATTGCTAGTCCAAAAAATTATATAGTAGTGTTGAAGTATTCCAAGATAGGCATTCTCTGAATACCTGTCTCAACAAATTTTTTGCCCTGAATTTATTTATTTTTACTCTGAAAATTCTGCTCAAACAATTTTACCTACACACTTAACAATTTCAAACCAAATCACCCCATCCAAACCCAGTTTGTCCTGTTGTTGTTAGTGTGTCTGACCTTTGAATGATTTACATATTTTTGAATACTTCAATCACTCTTTTGAAAGTTCTTGAAAAAATTCTATTCAATCATATTCCCACTTAACCCACCTCATATCACTCACAATGAACCGGCTGATGCTCTTCTCCTTTCAGGTGCAGGGGTCTGTCCAAGCTGGCCCCCTGGACTCCGGACATATCTCTGATATCATATCATCATGGCTACTACCTCAAGTGCTAGTACCCAAAGGCGTTCCCCTAGACACACTCCTCCTCCTACCAACCCAGGATCCAGAGCTAGCATGTCACCATCCGGCAGAGGAGCTTCCTCCCAAAAGAAGAAACCTCTAGCAGACAACAAAGCCCTGCGCAGGAACAGCCCTAGTGCAATGGCCCAGAAAGCTGTGCTGGGTAAACGTCCATCAAAGTCACCCCAAGAACAACCAGAGACATCTGTTCTTAAACCTCCAGGTAATCTGGTTATTGAAAAGATCAGCCCAAACCTGATATCAGCTTTAGAATCATCGAACCTCAGAGAGAGCCCCAGCAGTCCAATGAGCCCTCTGTACAAGTCCTTTCCTCCATTCTCCCGTGCTGAAGAGTCTGCTGAAGAACTTGAAATCCAGGATAAACCTACAGTAAAACAACGGTGAACGTGTTAAAGCCAACAAGGTCAGTGCAATAGACCCTAAGCTCTGCATTGGTTATAGCAACGTCATCTTAGTTTGTGGGACCAACGATCTACGAGTTGAAAATGTGCAGTCACCTGGTGATATACACCAGCTGGTAGACGTTCTCCACCTGAAAATCCAGCAGATCCAGAAACTGTGCCCTAAGGCGAAGTTGTTTGTCACAGCAGTTTTACCGTCTAGACTCCCTAAGATGAATAAAAACATTATGGCATTCAACAGCTTGGTTGATGAAATGTTGTACTCTAGCTTTAACCAGACTGTATGGCACCTTGGTGTTGGCCACTTTTTAGACGGTAAAGGGTTGCTTGCTATGAAACTCACGAGAAATGGTGATGAAATCCATCTCGGAGAGCTTGGTATTGCTAAATTTGTGAGATGTCTGAAACAGTGGGTGTATGTGAGGGAGAGACAGGAGAGAGTAAGACAAAGGAAGGGCACCCGACCAGTGGGAGTTTATCCCACTTAGTTTATCATGATTATGAAACTTATTAAAGATGTGTGCGACCCCTGTAGTAAATACATTAATATTGGCCAGCCACTCTTAGAATGTGAAAATTGCAGCAAAGTTGTTCATACTAAGTGCTTCAGATCCGCGAAATTTACAAGCAAAAACGGTCTATGGATGTGCAGTGATTGCTGTAGTACAATAGAAGATAGGTATTGCCCATTTCCAAGCAGCCAAAGATATGATGATTCAGATAAATTCTATGATACAAACAACCAGGAAGATGTCACCATAGCTAAATTCTCTTCAATACTTGAAGACTGTAAGCGTTACACAAAACAAGAACTAGCAAACTCAATCAGCAAACTTTTTCCTGAGAAAAATAAAAATTCTGCTTATCTGCCCGCTCTGTTTTGCAATATAGATGGGTTTGCTAGTAATTTTGACAGCTTTTTAATAGAACATAAGACCCTCCCGTGTAATTTTGATGTCATTGGATTGGCTGAGACCAACATCGATCCAAGCCAACAAGGCTTATACCAAATCCCCTCCTATACAACATTTTGTCAAGTACCATTCCCTGATAAGAAAAAAGGAACAGGAGTATCCTTATATGTCTCTGATCGCCTGAATGCTGTAGTAATCGAAAATCTATCTCACTGTACAAAAGATATTGAGTGCTTATTTGTTGAAATTACTCTTAGCTCGGGTGATAAACTGACATATGGGGTTGCTTATCGTCCTCCAAATGGCTGTAGTGAGACCTTTTGTCAAACTCTTGAGGATATATCTAAGCAGTTGGCTGGTAAAAAGTTCCATATTCTTGGCGATTTTAACTCTAACCTCCTCAATGTACAAACCTCCAGCCAGCTATTTGAGGACACGTTACTTCGTAACAATATGTATCCTACTATATCACTTGCTACCCACTTCCGTCCTAACTGTAAAAACTCATGTATTGACAATATCCTCACATCAGAGATAGATCATGTACTTCTCTCCGGTGTATTGAATGATAGGATTGGTGACCATGCCTTTATATTCACCTTCACGTCAATTCCTACCGAAAACAGTACTGAAAAACTTAAACATGTTCGCTACTATGATTATTCAAGTTCCAAACTCACTAATTTTGTTAATGAACTCGAGGTGAAGGTGAATGACTTGACTCCCTCGGTAAACTTCAATGAGTTCTTGGACTGCTTCAATGAAACACTTGATAAACACTGTAAGCTTGATGTACCAAAAGTTACCAAAAGGACACCCAAACTCAACCCGTGGATTACCGATGGAATCATTGTCTCAGTTGAAAGAAAACATGAACTCTGTAGAGACTGGTCAAGCACTGTAACAAATAGAAACCCTGAGGGTAATGTACTGCTCTATAAAGTCTTCAGTGACTACCGAAGAATGCTTAAAAGTATTATCAAGGTCGCCAAACGATCGTACTACTGCAATGAAATCCATAAAAATATAGAAAACAGCAAAAAAACGTGGCAGATAATCAATGAGCTCAGGGGCAAGAAAAAGAAGCAAACTAAGCCTCCCTTTATCATAAACAACGAACGAATCATGAATCGTAGAGTCATAGCCAATGGATTCAACTCTTACTTTGTTTCTATTGCCCCTAAGCTCAATGAAACACTTAGTAGCAGTGAGGCCTCTGGTTTACCAATTCTCCCTATAAAAACATTCTATGATTTCCTTGGAAAGACTAATGAAAAATCGATTATGTTAGAAGACTGTACACCTTATGAGATAACGGAAATAATAAAAGGATTTGAAAATGGAAAAGCAAGTGATATTCCTGTTAGTGTAATCAAAAGATCATCTCACGTAATTAAACCGATCCTTAGTCGATACATCAACATCTTAATGTCTAATGGCACGTTCCCCGACGTTCTAAAGACTGGTAGAATAACTCCTGTATTTAAGAAGGGAAACCCTGAAGAGATAGAAAACTACCGCCCAATCTCTACTCTCTCTATATTTGGTAAAATCTTTGAAAAGATCATTTACTCAAGAATATATTCGTTTGCTAGCTCACAGGGTATAATATCTAAAACACAATTTGGCTTCAGGCAGTCACACTCTACTTCACATGCAGTTAATCACTCAGTAAACCTTATAACTGAATCTCTAAAACTTAAGCATCATGTCTTAGGCATATTCATAGACCTTAGCAAAGCTTTTGATACAATAGATCATGGTACATTACTTGTCAAATTACAGGGCTATGGGATACGTGGGGTGGCAAATGATCTTATAAAAAGTTACTTAACAAATAGATCACAATATACTGAAGTTGTTGGTGAGAAATCTGACGCCTTGAAAATACAGTTTGGAGTCCCTCAGGGTTCGATTCTTGGACCTCTCTTATTTCTCCTATATATTAATGATATCGCCAACAGCTCCAGTTTGGGATCATTTGTCACCTTCGCTGATGACACCAATATATTTGTGACTGGGAAATCTAAAAAGGAGGCATATATGCGTGGTAATTCTCTTTTAGCTAGTTTATATTCCTACATGCGAGCAAACAAACTCCATGTCAACTTGTCTAAATGCTGTTTCATTCACTTTAAACCAGCATCGTCCTCCCAGACTGACAATAATTCTGAATATACTCTAACCATTGATAACTTTCCAATAAAACAAGTTGCATCTGCTAAGTTTCTGGGAGTCGTCATCGATGAAAAGCTAACCTGGGAAGAACATATAAAATCACTTAGGCGTTCTCTCAGCCATGCAACATCAACTCTCTGCCGCCTACGCTGCTCCCTCCCAGATTTCTTACACCGCCAGTTGTATTACACTCTATTTGAATCACACCTCTCCTATTGTATCACGGTTTGGGGTGGGGCAGCCAAAACTCGTATAAGTTCTGTATTCAAAGCACAAAAATATTGTCTCAGGGTACTGTTTGGCGACAGGGAGGCATACCTAGATAAATTTAAGACCTGTGCTCGTGCTCGACCGTTTGGCAACCAAAATCTGAACAAAAAATTTTTCTTGAAAGAGCACACAAAACCTTTGTTCAAGGAACACGGAATACTTGCCGTCCAAAACCTGTACACTTACCATTGTTTCCTTGAGCTCTATAAAATCATGAAATTCCGTGCTCCGATTTCCCTCCATGAAAATTTCACCTGCTCAAGTAGGAAACCCACCCTTATACTAAGCCAAGCAGACCCCCCTGACAACTTCAATAGCAGAACGACTCGTATTTGGAACGTAATTGTGCCTAAGCTTGGTATACGTGACTACTGTCTAAGTGTGGCCTGCCTGAAGTCTAGGATGAAGCAATCACTGCTCGTCAACCAGCATAACCATGCTGATCTTGATTGGACAAACAAAGATTTCGAATGCTCTAATCTAAATTTTGACATTAAGTCTACCCTAGGGTCCACACATCCAAAATGATTATCTTGAAATTGAAAATTAGCTGGGTGTGCATTTTCCTTTGTCTTACTAACGTGTGTGAGCGCAGTGTAGTGAGAAAGTGTTTTTAACAGATTTATTATTAGACTTAG